CTTTGGCGAAAAAGCATCCCTTCTGACAATGCTAGAATGCAGTGCACTAGAAATACTAAGGGCAACTGGCAACAGGCCATGCACAAAGGAAAGTCCACCGCCTTTTTTGGTAAAAACGGGCTCGCCCATAGCTGTCGTAAGTACTGGCTCATACAGCCCCTACAAGGCATCGCTTGCTGGTATATTTTACGGACGAATAAGTTTAGTTTTGGAAGGCATATTTTTTCGAATTAAACAATGAATCGGCAGAGTGCCTTAAGAAGTACATTATTTGGTTCAGACATAAAAAGAAACAGGAGAACTCTTACGATGACACACAGCCAGCGCATATATGGGGACTGTACTGCCCACCGTAGTAAACGCTGAGACACTCGTGATATTGGCTTACGAACCGACCAGATGTTTTATAAAGCAACAAATCGGATCGGATATCAGTTTCGTTATATAAAATACTACATAACATCATCCTCTACCGTTTTAAACAAAACAGCTGGAAAAACTACAAATTATAACAAGCAGGCAAGATTAAATTATGATAAGCGATATCGCTCACTCCATCGATCGATCGATCGATCGGCCGGTGCAAATTAGCCTGCTTCGACGAAACTGTTCTTACCTGCGGGCGTTACGGGACTACAATGATCGCCCCGCCATTTTTTGTTAGCCTCCAAATCGCCTGGGGCACTTAAGTTACATGTAATTCGCTTCGAAAATCTAATTGTTCCGACATCGTTGGTTGCTTTCGATCATCTCGAGGAGCTGAACGAATGTCAGGGGAAGGGGGGTGTAGGGCATTTGATTGTAATAAACTCTAACCAGATGTTAGTGTTCGCTGTTTTTATTTGCGTGTCTTTGTTCAGTTGTTTGTTCTTCTCGAAATAACCTTTTTTTCTTTTTTTCATATATAAAAGATATATAAAGGTGTCTGTTTTGAAACAAGCTGAACAATTTACATTAAACATATTTTAGAGTACTAAACTTTCCTGGAAATGATGATTCTATTCACATTGTCTTGCCAAACCACCTGAGATCACTACTTCTTGTTTATTTTTCACTGAAACCCATTTTTCTGTATATATATATATATATATATATGATTTTAAAGACAGTAGAATGAAACTTTGAGCAGGCAGCCGTCGTCGACGACAACGACAGTTGCAAACATCATATTAGACGCTGTCTAGTTGAGATTAGTTTTTATTATAGTGTTTAATGCCACTGTAGCTTGAGAGAGCTAACAAACCATTTTTGCAGATGGCTTTTTTCGCACATGTCTTAGCCTTGCGTTTCATAAGAAAACAATTAAATAAACAAAAACAAAATATAGTAACTTACAAATATATCCCTATTCTAACCAGAAGCAAACTTGGGCGCACAATCGTTCTCTCTCAGTTCTCCCTCTCCATTCATCCCGACTGCGACTATCCTCGCCAGTTGCTTGCTGGAGCGGTAGTCATGACGAAATATTGGCCCAAGCAGTGGCCTGATAAACCAGTAAGCATGTTGAGCTCACCAAAGGGATGATTATGTTCACGCGTATAACGCTGATTGTCCGCCTTCTGACGGGGACTTGGACGGCCCTAAAGCCTCCTAAGCCAACGGTCTCTACGAATAGGAGATGCTGGTAGTGCTTTATTTTTCCGCCGTCAAAAATAGAAAACTCAGCCTCGCGAAATCCCTCGCCCATGTCGAACGTCTCAAAGGCGACTTCGTTCGAAGCCCTTCCGCTTACGTTACGAAAGCCAAAACCACTAACTCCCATCTGGTCTTCTGTTTTTTCTCGCCTCTTGTAACTAACTTATCAAGATTTCAATGGCAACTCTAATCTTTGAAGTGAGACTTAATCACCCAGTTGATTTGAGGCTAAATAAATGTTTACTTGTTTGCGGTATGCTGTGGCGTTTATGAAAAACGTACTGTTTGACAACTGCGAGATGGCGCTAGTCAAAATGCTATAGAAAGAACGGTGTAGCCATTATCATTAAGGTTGCTAAGAAGCATCTAGAAACGTCTTGATATGTCCCACGAGGAGAATTATCTAACCTGTAGCAGAATGTGTGTTCAATTTGTCTAGCGTGATGTCAAATACTGGCCTTTTTTGTATGGCGCATCACCGACGCTGCGCTCATCGTCGGCTAAGGTTTCTAAAAGCAGGAACACTAAACTTATCGCTAAGTATTCGTCTAGAGTCGAACTATCTCTATATATTAATAAACAGTAGATTCGGTTTCTAAATACATAAGGAACCAATTTTGCATATTAAATTAATTATTTAATCAGCGGTAAATTTTTTGTCGCAGATTAATGAAATCATTCATTTCAATGTTCAGTCTTCTTGAGGCAAGCGCATTAATAATCTTCATGGCCATGCCAGCCAGATGATGAAAGGGCTTCTATTGATAGCGTCAGCCATTGTATTTTCAACCGTAATTGAATACAATAGAAGTGCAGACAAACACGGACCCGCAAATTCACGCAAATGAAGCTTAAAAATAAAAATACAGTTATATTCAGAGGTCGATGTTGATTGGTACGGTTGTCGTATGTGATCGTCCGGTATAAAGTTCACTGAGATATTCTCTAATGTCTGGTCCGCTTAATTGTTGAGTGCTGGCATGTTTTAAGTAAAATAAGCATGTAGTGCTTGTTGCGGAACTGACTTGAAGTGTCAACAATGTTTTTTTTAACATTGTTTATGGGACGACAACGTGCACACCAGAAAAAACACTTTTTGTTTTTGCTGGCAATTTCTATATATACCATATGAAATTATACTACAGCACGGTATAGTTATGCGCTGGATGGCCAACCGACTAGAATCATCTATTATTTACACTTGGCCAATTTAAAATTTCACACCATTTTAAATGTCTGGCACGCTCTGTTTGTTGAATAAAAAATAGTTGTACGTTAAAAAATAGAAACACATAGCATAGTGGTACTAAAAGTGTGTCAGTCACATAACTGTACATCCATTAGATTAGAAAAAAACACCGCCTTTCAATTAACGGACATCGAAATACCGAATTTTGTATTTTCATCAGGTCTAGTTACTTGCAAGCAACCAAGTTACGTGTCATATTAAAAAACAGTCTTGAATTAATAAAAAAAAATCAATTCTGCTTAATTCGTTTGAGACAATCGATTCGAGTCTCTTTATAACCCATGCATATAGTACTTGTATCAAATGAAAAATGGTCTTAAAGTATAAGTAAAAAGAAAGTTTTTTTTATACAGCAACGTCTATGCGTATTCACAGCACATTGAAAACACGGAACTGAGTAAGGTAATTACACGAGTTTCTATTAGGAAAATCGAGGTGAAGTTCTGCTTCGACCAAGAATCGTTCATGCTAAGCACTGAGACTAATGATGAGGTTCGGCTGATTTTCACCGGAGTTCGTGCCCACGGACTCTCCGGGAGAAACAATAAAAGTTCCGGAACACCCCGCCGGCCAATGAAAACATCTAAACTTTTGGCGTAATTTTGTGGTTATCTGATGTGGAACGAAAGTGAATGCAGAATGTTTTTTAAAGGAAAAATAATTGTTTTCATAAAGCTGTGTAAGCGAAGTTGATTAAGAAATAACGAGCTACCTCTGTGTCGGCTGTCTATCGCATCTGAAGTACGACACTGAGAAAAAAATATATATATAAGAACAATGAAATGCTTCTTGTTCGGATGTCCACTTGGTCTTAACGGCGCTTCAACATTACAGATCCCATTTCTCGGAACAAATATGAGCCATTCGGTTTGCTTAGCGCTTCGCTGCTTGCGGAATAATTCTGCTCACGGACTACGCTACTCCATTGAATACGAAGAGTGGCAGAGTGACCGCAATTACCCTTCATTAGAAGCGCTGCATGACGAGCGCTAGTGCCATCTCTAAGGAGCTTCCGTGACGACGAGAATAGATGTGAGCTTATTTGACAGTACCAATGACCAGTTGTGTAGATCGCTTCCGCCGACCAGTTTGGCGCCCAAGAGACGCTACTGATATTACTCAAGGCTATGATGTGTAGTTTTCAAGAATAGGCAGTGAACAGAACTTTCAAAATGTCTTCGCATATTTATCATGGAACTCTTTAAGGCGACTCGAATTGGCGGACCAAACAAACACGCCGTTGGTAAGAGCACAATAAAGAAGCGCATTGCTTTATATATATATATATATATATATATATATATATATATATATATTAGAACGTTTATTAGCTAAATGATGATTTAAAATCGTATTACATACAATCAGCAATGCAATGCTTGGATAAACGAAGTTATTATGGTTACGAACATTACATTGAATACTTCCACGCAAATAACTTATAAAAAGATCATATTCTATTATGAAAACGGTAATACATTTGTGAACGTTAGCTTGAAGCGCTTGAATTACGATGTTGCAATAATTACCCAGTCTTTTTCCATGTGTTTATTTAATAGGTTGCGACAGTGCTGCCACCTCATATAAATCGTTCTATATAGAAATTATTATCAAAAGGTTATTTAATGCATATAATAACATAAGAAAAATATCTTCTTATTTCGTAACCATAGAATCAAACGAAAGAACAACTAGATTCAAGGATAATTTATTATTTTTTTTACTATTTTTTAACACTTTTATTAATAAGGAAATAAGATAATTCAGGAAGAGCTTTGCTACATAACATTCTAACATAAGTTTTTTTAGCCTATTGACGCCTTAGCCCTGATTCTTGTTAATTAATGTTAATTAATGATAGTCTTAATTCTTCTGTAATAAGTTCGCACAAAATTCAATTTCCATTGCGATCAATGGATAGATATATATATATAATGGATATATATTGATGAAGTTGAGCCATGGAGTCTTGCGTTAATTAGGAATTACGTACGGAAGTTAATTTTTATTTTATTCAACGATTAACTTTCAACAAAGGCTAGCCACATTATACGCTGTTTTCAATACATTCTAATTGAAGGCAAGTGTATTAAGATATGCCTTTCGTTATACTTACCTGTGAGAAGCCCCGTTACCGTATTATAATATTTGCTGAGCTGCGCATATGAACCTCATGCTTATATTAACTCCAGTTAGGTTAGTCCGTCACAATACGTAACCATGTACATTTAGTATAGTCCAGCCGAAACAGTTCGTTGGGCCTTCGTCATTGACAACGACGTGAGCGGCTCAGCAGTACACAGAACGGGTTTTCAGCTTCCCATGACGAAGAAGATCCTATCCTCTCAGTTCAATTGCTTAGCTAGTAACACTCAGATAGTGCCATTGTAAGTAATGCCTGACATCTTGCTGTGACTGTAGAAACCATAAGCTACTACTACAGTTAGCCGTCGTCACTTCTCGCCTGACCGCCTCTGGAGGGGAACGCTTCTGGAGAAAAGCGGTGGCGGTGAGTCGTTCATTCATTCCCAGCCCAGTCGGATTTGGATGGCAGCAGCAACAGCTGCAGCAGTGCCAGGCGTCAAGCAATCAGCAATCCGAGATGCAAAACAACACCCACCATAATATTACCACGGCTACGAATGGTGGTACTACCGTTACTGACAAACAGGCGCATATAGCATTGCGTGGCGCGGCATAAAAATAAGCTGAACTCAGCTGTTCAGCCTGATCGCCCGCCCGCCCGCCCCATCCCATCTCTCCGTTGCTTCCGTAAACGCGAGAAAACGCCGCTGCCTTGAGGCAGGCAGACAGGCAAACTTAGGGGCCACTGCAACGAGAGCTGATTATGTGGCGCAGTGGCTGAGCACTTTCGATCTGTGTGGGTATCTGAGACATTTGCTGCAGCGGCCGCTAGCGTTGTCTGTGCGTTCGTCTCGAGTCTAGATGCCAGCCCGACCCCGTTCCTTAGGGTAGTTTAGCCTCTGTATCGGACCCTTGCCCAATGATCCCTTGTGCTGCCTGGTCACCAAAGCGTTCGATCGTTCTACTCCGTACAAACAAACATAAGATATTTCATCGAGAGACCCATCAAATGGCGCACTGATGAGCAGATGCGGCAGCAAAGGGAGTAGCCAGAACGAGTCAATGTACCAACAGCTGCCGAAATCAGTGCAGGCCTGTTCCTAACAGCGTCCGTCTACAAGTTGCTCAAGTGATACCAATAGTGTACGTTTGTTTGGTTTTGTTCGGACACGGACTGATTAGATACGCTGAGCTTGATGTCTTTTCATTTCTACAGATCGCATTATATTTGTCCAGTCCATCGCTCGAGACGCCTAATAGATACTTGGCGCAGTTGAAGATAGAGTGCAAGAACGACAACAAAGTGGAGCTACTATAGTGGAGTAAAACTGAAGTGATCTAATGAGCTAAGTAATGCGGTTCACTCTCTTGTTGACGCTATTCGTATCAGTCGTGCACACAACACTCGTTCAATCACAGTTTCTCTCCAGATTGCTGAGTCACTTCCTATTTAGCTCCCGTCACTCAGACGAGGAGGGCTATCCGCGATACGGGCACAGGTAACGCAACTTAGCTCACTTACAAAAATCGCGTGAAAAAAGTACATTCCGTTGTAGACCTGTATACCGTATACGTTATTAGACGAAATACGTTCTTGCCTATAAAAAGTTTTTTTCGAAGAGGTGTCGACTTGTTATAGGGAAAATTCTCTTAGTACATCAGTATAAACGATTTGTTTTTTTGACAGCTACTCCATGATACCACTGCGAGAACCACCAAAATCCTTCCGCAAACTCGGCTTATGCTACTCGCTGTAAGAAAAAGTGTTTTCTACATATTTGATCAGATACACTTTTTTTTTTTTTAAATATATTTGATACGCAGCCACGCTTAGAGAAAATTAGAGTGGCTTGACGAAGTCAAATAAAACTTTAACCTTCAGACCTACAACTTGAAGTTGACAAAACGGCGAATTTTATAACTGGCTAACTAATAGCTTGACAGCTCGTTTTTCTTTAAGAATCTTCTTCAGTAAAATGTTTCTGATAGCTCGCTCAAAACCGTCTACAGGGCTGTATATAGATGTTTGGGGACTTTTTTTTACAGATGCCCCATTTGCGCTCACGCTTAACTTTGGCTCATATACGCTCTGTTTCAGCCTCAAATCAGCACACGACAATCTGAGATTGCCAATCTCAGCTGAAACTGGCTCAAGGATAAGAAATATTACCAACATTTTATGCTACACTTACCTTTTTTTTTTTTTTTTACTTTTTACGAAATTAACAAATGAATCTAAGCGTCATTTCTAGCGCGGCCATGTATGAAGATTATCCATAAATGTATGATATTTTAGCGGTTTATATAAAGTAGCTGTAGAGAGGAAGAACCATAGGATATTATTGTGCACGAAATTACGAGATTATATCGTGATCTTACCTAATAGAACAGTTGGTGCGTAAATGTAGGTGAATATGAAGTTTCTTAGTAACGCAAAGTAGATGTACTGCTCTATCGATGACTGTACGCCATAAAAATACTTTTTAGCATTACGTTTACATAAAGTAGATCATCATCTATACTATAATTTCTTTGATACGACGTACTAGAATATCATGTTATCTAGATGTAGAAGAGGTATAAGAATTTAAATTTTCGGTTCTAATCATTCCGATAGGAATGATGATTCTGATAATGAGTTGTTAATCTGCATTTTTTGGGACATCGTGAACAAGAACAGTCCAAACATATCTCGATACTGACTTCTTAAAACACGTACTTGAAGGCTAAAGAAAGAAACGTCTAAAGTCTAGATGTATATATATATATATATCAATAATATCAACAAAATAGAATCTGTTAAGACCATCCAAATGGGTATTCCACAGCAATAAATGAAGCGAACACACCACGGGTCAATTTTGTCCGGATTACTCACGTTAACTAGAGTAGAACTATGGAAAATGTATATGATGGGCCTGTATAAAACATGCAATTATGTTTAAGAGTTTACTTAATAATTATATAAATAATTAAATTAATTGTCTCAATTAGCTGTATCAGCTTTGCAAACCAAATTTACTAGAATTTTTGCCATTACGTTTTGATGACCACATATAGACCTTAGAGCTAGTTATTAAGCTGCAATAAAAAAAGGTCCAAGCCACTTTGCTTGAATCTAATTGTATGCTCGTGACGAAACTACAGTAACAAGGCTTATAAAACCGTAACTAACTCTAGATTCGAAGTCCGCGAATTCCAAAATTAACGCTAGAATTTTATATTTCAATGTCCCCTGCAGAATTCGGCGAGAATTAGGCTGCGCAACTCTCAAGCCTAGCGGAGCTATTATCGATTTTTTATTGATATAATCTACCGCTAATATTCCATCACTTTAGTAAGTGCTCATCATTCCACCTATACAAAATTTGAATTTTTAAGCGGTATTTTTTTCTAGTTTCAGCACAGTACATTTTAGAATAAGTACTTCAACTTCCATCATTTCTGTTGGTTTAACTTATACCTGACAAAAGTTTGTTGTAAAGTATTACGCTCAAGATAACAATGACATAATTTGTATCGTCGAATAATGGAAAAACTCGCTGCTGTCACGAAGAACGAACGAAACGACAGTCCATCTTCGAGGAGGAACGCAAGGGACTCTTTCGAGTCCCTTACGTTCAAAACGAACAAACCGACTTTTGACATTCAGAAAGCAGCATTCGCTAAGCAGACGCCGCTCGAGCAGATGCCCTTGCTCCTAGAAACGACTATTTATATTACAATGTGCACGCATTCAATCTTCCGTTTTTCTTGGTAGAGCCGAACGGTCAGGGCTGCTATTCATGTTATTAGCAGGCAGCCTCTTGAGACGGCAAAGAAATCCAGTAGTCAGTTATTATACCTGCGATTTATTGGTCATGCTTTGAACTTTCGGTTTGGCTGCAAAAATAAATTATAGCATCAAATGGAAAGTTCATTGGCTAACTGTATTCTCAAACAGTATAATAAGTAAGGTTTTTTTTTTTCTATATCGTACGCTTTGAGTAGGAATGCATTTAAAAAAAATCAAGATTGAGGACAGTGCGCAGCAGCCTTGAGGTGGGCACTGAGTCCAGGTTTACATGCATTATGAAAACGTGTACCGCTGAGGGCTTCCGCAGTATTTTAATGCTTGCAAAGTTCCATAGGGAACCAAGGTAGTTGAATCAAAATGAGTATCACCTGAATCAGCATGCGTAAGCAGTATCCCGTGGCTGTCTAGCATCAAAACAGTTAGCCCCAATTGCTAGAACCCTTACATCACCTTCCACATACCCCTTCAACAGTTTCGGTTGAGAAAATGTCCCTTCTTTGTAGCATAGATCCACTCATAACAAAATGCTATTTTGCCGCGAAATTTAAAAGGTAGCCACAAGCGCCTCGGACACAACACCAAGTAGGTTGCTCCAGTCAGTAAATGAAGCATATACGTTGCTCCTATACATTCATAATTTGAAATTTATCACGATATTTTGATGCCAGTTGTCATAATAACGCACTCATAATAAGGTTTCGAAGCGATAGATTTCGGTAAAAACAAAGGCAGATTCTTGGGGGAATTAGCGAAGCATAATTCATCTTAACAGTTTAAGTTGTTTACGGCTTTCTCTAAAATTTCAGCAAATATAGACTTTTTGTTATTAGAGTTTGCTAAATTGTGCAACTTGGTCCACAGACACGGCCTGAATCTTTGCTGATTCACTGAAAATCTGAAAGACAGGGAACTGCGGGTGAGACATAAAGGGTCCAAATGTTCCGTTGTTTCACAATGGACTTTTTCATTACGTCCGCGTAAAAAATCACCTTCGCATCTGCCTCCACGCTCATGTGACAGTTAAAAAATATGCGGTACGAACACTCCGCAGTTAAATATTTTGGGCTAGCACAGATGTCTATTTGAATTTTACCTATATTTTATAATGTATTTCATTTATTAATACCAGGCCTGCGAGCGAATGAAAGCAGATGATATACATAGTACCTACATATGGTATACGCGTACAGCTCCACCCAAACGTATTCTCAAACAGTAGCTCTGCGATGTATAGTATGTGATAAAAGCGAAAGTGATTACTTAACATTAAAAGTAGTTCAAACGAGCGGTATATTTTTAGTGCAATTCTGAAAATTTAAACATGTGTTTAAGGGAGGCAAAGTAATTCAAACGCATCGCTTCTAGTTACGCGTAAAACGTTATTTTTTATCAACGATAGGCCGCAGCTATCTAAAGCACATAATAAAATCAGAAGTAGCTGTACCTTAGTTTATTCCTTATTTGCAGAAATTGGATTGCAGATTCGCGTGTTTATAAAGGCAGCAAATAAATGTAACGACATTACACAGTATTAGGGACGTTTTTTTCGTGTTACTGTCTGACGCAACTGCTAACGCAGTTCGAAACGCAGAACTTGAATAGTTATTTCGAATGAAACTTTATTCTGAAACGCCAATGAGTCATTTGGGTATTGCGTTTTTTCCGTTTATTTATTCGAAGCAGCATCCTACTGATACACTATATGTAGAGTTCATCTTTGGTCAGGATGTTATGCCAAACTATTATGACAAATATACTGTCCAGCAGAGCTTTGAAACTGTAATTTTATTTATAATTTCCTACCAGCCCCGAAATGAACTATGAGTTCACGTTTTATAAACGTGACATTCACGTACATGGCAGCCATAAAACTAGCATCGAATTAATTCTACATTCTCCACTTGGTAAGCGCGCCAAAACAAAGCGATACAAGGTAGCTGAACGAAAAGTTTGCCTTTTTTAGGCGACCTCCACCAAGACGGCGATATCACCGAAGGCCCTCAAATCCCTCGGATCCATTCAAGTACGATCCCGACGACGAGGACTACTACAGAGAGCATGCACTCCCACGCCCTCCCAGGAGGCCATCTCCTTCGTATCAACGAACATATGTGTACAATCTACCGCCGCCACAATCTAGCCACAAGTCTAACGAGCAGGTTCGTTCATAGTGCAAATACTGGTTTCGTTTGCGTCACGCAACTTAGAACTCGGTCAATGAGCTTCCCATGAAATCTTCTCTCACTCTTAACAGCTGATATTAACTAATAATAGTTGTTGATTGCGTGCTATACGGGATTGAAAAAACTGATAGCTCAAAATTCGGCAATACCTGCGCCGAGAGCTGCGCAAGAGTACATGTGTTACTACAATACGTATATGCCCCTTATCTACGAACTTAGCTTACTATGTTTATGGTACACGTCCGAATTGCTTTATTGTTTGAAATTTTGAGTATATTTTGCTTAAAAGGACTCTTCGTATTTCAAGTGAAGAATTTCTCGAGCCTAACAATCCTAGCGGCCAAATCATATCTCATCCAGTAGGTATTCATATAGAAAAATTTCGTACTTAAGGTCACGGCATGGCTAACGGACAAGCTGCGACTGAGTACAATACTTACATATCAACTCCTGCAACACTACTATATGTTATTTGTACAGTAAATAAGCTTCTTTCGCGAATCACGATCATCCACTACAGTCATTCTATGCTTTACTGTTTTAAGAGAAAGCTGAATTCGTTACCTCTAATAGCGATTAGATCGTTCTGGGTGTCGGTACAATCCATTCAAATGGAATCAACAACATTTTACTTTAATTTCCGCTTTTTTTTTATGGGCGTCTATAATGTAATGTAATGCAGTTTATGCAGCAATGCCGCTTATGAATAATAAGAGCCGATGTTATAAGGCGTTTATACCTAGAATGTTTATTGATAAAAAAAAAAGAGGTTTGCAAAATGTACAAAGCCGTAGATACAGGTGGTTTAGAATCTTACGTCCGGCATCACCATTAGGCATTTCATCAGAGGGCTGGCTCCCGGCACAAGACGAAGTGTGTTTATGCCCGGAGTCGAATCTACATCTCCTTAAGATCTAAAAACGTAAATACGTTGCCCATTAAGCTATCATGAAAACATATGACTTTAGTTAGCCGTAGGAAAACTGCTGTTAAAGCAACACAATATAAGAAACAAGAACCGGTTCTTTATAGCATCAGTTTTCAACCGTTTCGTCGAGGCAGACTCTAACTTAAAGTTTCGTCTAGCATAATTATCAAATCTTTTTCTTCTTACAGAATCGTGTTGTTTTGTCGTATTGTGATCAATGTAATTTTATTTGTCGACAAAGGAAAAAAGCGATAGCCATGACGCGTCCAGTTTGTCTATTTAGTCTGCAGGGCAAGCGAGAATATACTGAATATCGGCATGGTCCCCTTCGAACTCAACCTGATAATAGCCCGCTTTTGGTAAAATCCTATATGAACTCGTACATTTGCAACTTGCATCTCACGTCCCTCACTACTAATAATTTTTCTACATGACAAAGCTATTTTTATTTGTCCCTGGTTATAAGGGTCATTTCTCTCTTCCGTCTATTTTTTTGTTTTCAATGTGTTTCATTCGCCCGATCTGGCGTTCGTAGGACGGCGACGACAATCATCCCCCAATGACGATCTATCTCCAGGCGGGTGCCAACGGGGACTACAACAAGCCTCGTCGTATCCGTGTCGTCACACTTGACTCGTACCCGCATTTCCACCGAGAGTTTGGCTACGGACACAATAACCCCTACCAAACGGGTCTTTGGAACAAAGGCTTCATCCAGCGTGATATCATCTTTCCTCAGAACTACCACAGCAGTAGTGACAACAAGCGTGGTCTTCACGCGTACGGGGCCACGTACGGGAGTGGCGGGTATCCAGAACCGACTCTTGGCCACATATTTAATGGGTTTGGCGACAGTGACGACGCGATTGATTCGTATGGTGAAAGCCTTAAAGGTGGCAACTCTGTCGGAAGTGGCGGAACGGTAATTGTCCCTGATCCGGCGTATCATTCGGTTAATACGGGGTATACCGCGTCCAGACATGGTGGAATCGCCGACGAAAAAAGCTCTTTTGATGCACACGCTCAGTCAACAACGGTAGCAGCCAAATTTGATTACGACTACTATCGAAAAAAACGACGGAAGTAGATTTCTGCTGCAGAAGCAAATAGAGAAAATAAAAGCAAGGAAAAGTAGATACGAGTCAAGGGTAAGCATAGACGAACGTAGAAAACAGCCTCGCAATGACGCCCCCTCCATGTTGAGATCTAGTGCGCCTACGGAATGTTCAATTTACTTGATAACACTTTTATGTAATTGTTAGATTCGATTGACTTTTTTTAATTGAGTGTAGGACACTAAGACAACGCTGTATATATTGTAAAATCAACATCTCAAAGCCATAGAGATATGACCATCCCAAATTCAATTGATACATTGATGTAATTGGCAGTGAAAAGTTTGCAGGACCTCCAATTAGTGCTTGTTCAAAAAATGTATACAAAATGATAAAGAGTAGTCAATCGGCTACGTTGAATGTGGCCGACAGATTTGCAAAATTCTCGTATGTGTTTTTAATAACCGAAGCGGAGCAATCTAAAGCGATTGATATCTCCTTCAATGCCCTGGACGCCATCCAGTGTTTTTCCAGGAAAACGTAAAATGTATACTTTAATATACTCTATATATTCTTAAATAATTCTAGCGATCTCGCTGAGTTTTTAGAACTAGGCTAAAAGCTACTAACCGAAAATGTAATCGTCTAGTTCATCATATATAGCGGAAATACCTAGGTAAAACAATGTCAATAGAATACTTTTCGCGTACCCCTATATCTTAGAATAAGCAGCATAAAAGTAAATAAATGATGATCATTATTTTGGTCGTATCAACCCAGTACAAGACTTAGCCTAGCCGCTAGTAACCAATCCAATCGGACCCATTTCGATGCAACAAAGCCCAATTATATCAATTGTACTGTTGTATACTGTTTGTATACTGTTATATACAGTTAACATGACTGCAACAGTCATGTTAACTGTAGGAACGAAGCCAGTTGTCTCGTAAAAGTTAGATTAGAAAAAATTACCTCATTAGAGGTAATCTGCTACGTATCTGTTATCTCTAAATGAGAATATATAGGTTTTTTTTTAAATTTAAATTAAAACGCCTAACTTTTAGTGAACCTAGGTACCTATCTAATAAAGGCGGCACAAAATTAACGAATAACCCTTCTACTTTGTTCGTTGTAGTTTCCATTTACGAGGCACAGATATGAAACAGAAATGCTCGCTGCTGTAATTTCCAAGACAAATGTAGGTTATTTCTCTCTAGAAAACATTTACATACCAATAACGCCAATTCTTTTCTACTGGATGTTACCAAAAATTTGCGTAGACGGTGCATATTTTTTTTCTAAATCACAAGCGCTGAAATCCACGTTAATATGTTTGCTTGGATAGACAAAAATTATTCCTTTTGATTTTACCATGCTTGTTTTTACGATTTACATAAACTGTTCACTGTGACAATTTTTTATGGTCTTCGCATGAAATTTACTTAAATAACTATTATGCTACGGATAATAAGTAGCTCATATTTCTAATTTTATACTAGTATATTCAAACAGTAGAGTTGGGTTTGAGTACCAACAAAATACTTTATTCAAATTTGTTGTAGATGTATGTTGTAGATTATTTCTCCTCGTGTCTCGTTTTCATTTGCCGTTGACATTCTTTTTTCCCGTCAGGGATTCTTTTGTCTATTATTATCAACCGACATTTCTCGTTGTCTTCGTTCTGGTCTCCCAAAAGTGACCGTTATCCCCGTATAATTGTAGGCATTATGATCTAGTTGTCAAAATAACAGCAATAGCATTATCAGCCCGCCTGCTTTCCTTACTCTATAACACTAGCTATGATAAGATAATAATAGTACTAATAATTATAGTTCTTACTATCGCAATGATCATCACAAAGTATTTCTATATTTCTTAATGAGCTGCAAATTGTCGATAATCTTCTCGGTGGCTGACGGCAAGGGTGGAAAAATCAATCTTAGACGATAGGAAAAAACAAATAGCTTGGGACAAAGCATAACTTTTATACGTACGCAGTGCTATTCTCTTCCAGTTCTACTCTAATGAAATCAATTATAGTTTGTAAAGAGATGTTCATCGTTTGCTTTTCGATGCGCTGATGAGGTCTCATCAGTCCCGCCGCTGCTATAGGCAACGATTAAAAAGACAACCGTTGACGTTAACAACAAGGACCTGTCAAAAATCACGCCCTGTCGCACCGTTTCCAGGTCCAATTTATTTGCCGTCTTCCTGTTCATTTTCATTGTTTCGCTTCCCGTTTTACGTTTCGATACCGTTTCAAATCTACAGACCTTTTCTTTTTGCTATCAAAGCGACCAGCTATAGTCTAAAACTATATTCCCCTCTTTAGCGTAGAAGTTTTTGAGTGCGTGTGATAAATCCATGTTTTTTTTTTCATTTACGAGGTTGTCTTAACCGGGTCACCATCACATAGAATATCTTTCTATCTTAGCGTATCTACGTAGGCTAACACCAACTGTCTCGACTATGTATCTCATGGTAGACAAGGCTCTGCAAACCGGGGCACCGCAATCGGAAGAATATGACACTGGAAATTACGTACGAGAGTCAGATTGCAGGTTGTGAACGAGAATCAGAGGGCCGACTTGTTTATGAGTATGTATTTATAGTAAATAGGAGCGTTTTCAAATCTGAACGTTATTTGACGCAAGAGGCTTTACCGATTCTCTTGTCCTTCTTGCTACTTGTCATTTGAGGCGTTGTTTTTGCTATTACGTACGTTCGTGAATTTAAATCCAGACGTATCTTCACATATATCTGTGCAGTATAAGCATGTCACAGCATTTTACTTAGGAAGGCCGCTGTGTGCGGAGATCAACAGCAGCGTAACATCCGATGAAAACAGGAGTAGCAAAATCTTTCTGTTTCATCTGTCATATTAGGACTACAATAATAAGAACAGGCACTGCAGTGCCCATTCGTAAGCGTCATGTACTGTCAAACGGGTCACTGCAATCCAATTATTAATTGCAACTAAATGATAACTCATTTCTCTTACCAGTACAAAAACACAATGACAACTGTGCATCATATAAATACAAACGGAACAACAGATCAACAGCTACGGAAGGCTTATCATAAAAGAGCAGTGCTAAAATCCAGTTGTTTAATTATACCGTATATGAGATTAAAGGCCACTGAAATATCGCCCTTCGCAACGTCACATATAATAGGACTGGCGTTAGTGGTACAAGCTCGTTAAATTTGTTGGCGCACGTTCTTATCTTCATTAGATTTCTGCCTGAATTTCATTCTAGCATGTTTAAACTCTTGATATTTATTTATTTATTTATCTATGCATCTCATGGTCGACAAGGCAAAACGAACGCTACAATCCCCAATGCCGGTGTTAAAAACGATGGTCTTCAATATCCCACTCATGTGTGTATTCATCAAGGAAATAGACAAGACAGTGTAACAGCTGCTCCGCGCATGTTTCATAGAGAAGTAATAGAGTGATTTAAAAAAGAATAACAAACTATCTAATCAAACGCCTATTACGCTAGTCCCGGCAGAAACAACTGCAGGCAACCGATATGGTATCCTATTTTCGTTTTTATCACGGCTAGGTAACATAAAATTCGTAGTTCTTTGTTGTGCTTTAATAGATGAGGTTTCTTCTCTGCTCGCGGTATCAAATAGAACAAAAGCCGTCGTCGCCTGCCAGTTTTTAAGTTTCGTCGAAATTTTATGTCAGCAGCCAGGTTGCAGCTGGTGGAAGATAACAGCAAATGAGTCCTAAAGTTATGGGCCACTTATTCATTAAGCTGTACTTATCATCTAAATGTAAAAAAGGTACGTTTCCTGTTGTTATGAAGAATTGATCTATATACTTAAGAGCTGATACAATATGTGGATTACGTAAGCCTTATCTTTTTCCATCTATTGATAATTCTAAAATCTTTGCGAACAGTATTAACAGACGTTATGATAACAGTCTAGATTTAAATTCGAAACTAAACAAAGTTGTTTGTTTATCTACAATATGCCTTTCTTCATATGCTATACATAATGTTTTTGTATGGCAGAAAAGTCTGATCAAATTGATTGAATTTCTATCTTGTATTCGATATTTCAGAGTTGTGTGCATATTGATTAGGACGTATAGTAACATTTGAACTTTCCGCTCCCCAAAAGATATCACTCGCAGAAATTGCCATCAAAATTGTCACTGCTCATAACGAGTCGGTCGTTACCGTTTCTGGTTGTAGGGCTGAGCACCGAGTAACTAAAAAGCTGTGCCTGCCTGTGATCTTCACTCACATACTAATCCGCATACATATGTATGTATAATGGTAGATATATGATCACACACTGCTCAATAATACATATTGTTGTCGTCAACGTAATCGTCGATAGCAGTTACATAATGTAATCAAAGGCCTGCTTTCTGTCTGTGTCATAATTATATATACGTGAATCTATACGTAGTGGAACTTCTCTTCAGTTAACTTTCTTGCCACTGAACACGATTGTTGCCGCTGTAATATTATTAATAATAATTATACGTTCAGAGTAACAGTGCTCTAGAATCTTAGCGAAGTGGTGTTTTTTTTTTTTTTTTTTTTTTATTTTATAACGCTATCGATTTATTAGCTCTCAATGCCAAAATGACGGTGAAATTAGTTAGCAGACAAATTTCTCGACTGTATAATGGTAATTTTTTTCTAAATTCGGTTCAACGCATACAAGAAAATTTATAAAGAATTGTACTAGGAGCAAATAACACGGGATCTTAAGAAACAACCAAATGAAACTGCCGATGGGCAATAATTGATTCAAATCCATTAAGCTGAACAAAAAAAAACAGATAAGAAGACAAAACTCGGCACTTCTCAAGCCTGTGACTAACGGCAGCACGGAACCTAATCAACTTTTCATGTATACGCGGCTCGCTTTTGAATTAATCTGTTACACAAAAGCGCCCTGCGCAAGAGGGCCGAGGGGAGAGTGCCAATGGTACACTGGTAACACTTGATGGCGTAGGAACATAAGCAAATCGAAACGAAATGGGGCCATGAAAGACGCCTTGCGAATTCGACAGGTGTCATGGTCATACTGCCCAAGGCGCGTCACGACCATAAAGTATCTTGTCCAAAAATATTTCTCCCTTTAGGGATGAACATCCGTTCAGTTGTTCCGCCTATTGAATACTTACAGGCAATACTAAAATTATTTTTCTCTTCTATCGAAACTACATATGTCAGAGTCGGCGATGCTATTCCGGTTTTTCATGGCTCTAATAATATTTATTTACGGTTTTTTTCCGGGTCTGCCTTACCCCAAACGTGTTTAACGACTACTAAGATTGTTGTTTTTCGTTCCGTTGGTAGCTTCGTAAGGGTGTCTCAATGAAGTTTTAAGCGATACTCGTAAAATCGTTGATGGGCTCAACGAACTTTTCCACATTATTCAGTTGAACGGGATCTAGCAGTGCGGTGACAATCACGGCAAAGAATCAATGCCACCTCCATCATCATATGTAAGCGCTGTTGGGAGAATTCAAAATATCACCTTCCCCTAAAGCGTTCAATGCCTCCACGGCAAATCGACTAGAGCCTCATTCTGCCCTAGCTCATCCACTTGATCGCATCTGGTCTTCGTGGAGGCTTGTGCGGATTCGCTGTACGAACTATTTATCATTCCCGTATCCCTCCGTCTTCATTATGGTTCCACGTTTATTTAATAGCTTTGTTTTGTTTTACAAATAATTTCGTTTCTTCCTTTTCTTATACTGAACACTGAATTACATCCGCCCGTACCTGAACGGTACTTATTTTGCGGACGCATCCATATGATGTGTCACACGAAATCTTTATCATTATACGTTCGTTATGTTTGTCACTTCTCTATAGTCCTTTTTGTTGCTAGTATGAAATGTGTTCCCATTAAATAGCAATGACGATTATTCTTTTTTACGTGAAAGGGCACAAACGTAAACACAGGCTTATTCGCTCGTGTCGTTATGTTTTCCGGCTTTCGCAGCATTCTCCTTCCCATCCTCCTTTTTCTTGGATGATGCTGTTGCCGCGTTCGAAACAGCAGTAGCGGGTTGAGTCTCTTGGTTGGCGAGTACTGAATATTGTGGAGAATCGGTCTCACCCACGGCATCGCCCGCTTGAGCCTCATCTGCGGATATTGCGCGGATAATGGCACTGCCAACGCCGTCTTCAAACTCGCCTCCCGTGGCTGCTCTATGGTTACCAGCCGCAGGTGTTGCAGCGACTACCAGTGGGACCCCTGTCGCTTCTGGCAGAACGACCACTCGCAATGGCTGCGGTTGCAGTTGCGATTGAGACTGGGGTAACTGTTGCTGCGATGTTCCAGCGATGTCCTGATACGAAGGTGGGGGAGCAACCAGCTGATCGACGCCGGGCATCTGCACGGCTGTCGCGTATGGCGGAGGTGGAGCTGGATAGAAGGTATACGGATGTTTCTGCGTGGCCTCATAATCCGGTAGAAGTACGCTAGCCTCAGCGTTTGACCCGTGCGCTGGTCGTGGAACGGTCGGCGGCTGACTTACTATTGTCGCCGGTGGATTGCGTAGAAGCTCCTGACGAAGCCTTAAAAATTTGTAGCAAGACCACACCATATTGAGCAGGTACGCCCGTAGAATTACCGTCATCATGACATAGAAACCGCTCGAGGGATCCCCGGCGTGCGCCGGTACGTGACGTTCCGCAAAGCTTCCGACGAGTCGCAGCATCGCATTGGCGAAGTCAAAGCACATTATGACAAAGAAAGGCATCAGATATGATGGTTGACCCCAGATGGCCCCATACATGAGCATCATTGACGCGAAACCGAAAAACGTGCTTTGCAACAGCTCGTAGTAGAGGCCCTGCCGCGTAGTACGCATCGTAGCTGATAGCTGCTTAAGAGTAGTCTGATGGACGTCGATGCGAGTCTGGTCCAAATCGATGGTCTCGACAAGAGTCTCCTTCGAAGCGTTACCATCATTCAACAATTCGGGATTCAATAGGGCGGTAGCAATCACAGCGACGATGGCCATCTGCATCATCACGTGCAGAAGGCCCAGTGCGATTGTGCCTATTCAGAGAAAGGAACCAGAAAATAAAATTAAATTAGATACAAAATCGAAGATACAGCAAATGCCATCGACATGTATTCACTGATATAGATAGAGTGACACAATGACGAGAAGCTATTTCATGACACTCCTGAATTTCAAGCTCGATTATTCCCTTACATTGCAACGTCAATATACACAGATTGTTGCATTCCAATCGAGTATTTGTGCGTAATAGTTCAGGTTAAGCTATATTTAATATCTATGCCATATTACTAGTATTATCACCTTTATAATTGTTGGGTTCCATAGAATAACAACGTGTCAATCAGTGAAGTAAATTTAAAGTGATTTATATGCGTAGAAGTAGCGGGCGTCCAATCGGCCACATGTACTATGTAGTTCTAGTACCATGAACACCGTAACTGCATTGAAAGGAAAACCATGACAGTTTATTGTATATCGTGTTTTACCTAAAATCTGCATTCATGTTTTTAATTTAAATAACTTAAATTTGCTCCTGCGGCTATAATGGACGTACTTCAAGGAAGTATTACTCGCACGCATTTAAAACCAATACCACCTTGAGTTAACTTTCCTTCACCTAAACGAACCCCTCACTTTAGCACTAATTACAGGCACTCATATAGTTGCATGACGTTTGCCCCTTTTTATAGCTTCTCCACACGGACCTAAAACAATTCAGTTCAAACTAATCCAATACGCTGTTGAACCTAGCTGTGTTAGTCTTTAGTGGCGTCAGGCTTAGGACACGTCTTTGAAAAACCAATCGTCGTCAGTAATATGTTTTCGTCAGAAATTTTAACATTTGTACGTTTTCAAACTCAAATGTCTAAGCTTTACTGAATAGCTATAGTAGAGCATGTTTGTATGCGCGCCACAGTGAACGAGATTTATCAATGCACTGTGCTTGGGATAGCCAGCAGATCATAATCTGACTCCCATTTGATTTTCATGTCTTCTTGTCGCATATTTCTTTATCTGAATTTTTATGAGAAATTTTTTGAGAGCCTCAAGCCATCAAAGTTAGTATGAAGCGAACACATCTCCTGTGCTGTCTGCAGAACGTAGATGTATTGCCGAAACAATGCCCCACTACTACACTCCGAATGTCAAATTCCAAATAATCGATCAGAGCGTTTGCATACTGTAGTAGTGGAGACCCACTTATGCTTCCAGTAATCGATAATGCGCTTAATAGTATTATTCTCTTCCTTTAATTATAAAGTGTCCAGCGTGACTTCATTACCAACAAGCCGTGACGCGGCAGACGGTAATATTTCGACGTGCGAATCTCTAGATTTCATCTTGAGTAACGTGTGATGTTTTCCGTTTGTTTAAAACGAGCGCGTAATGGATTGAAGCGACGTGTAAAACATGGACGTTCACTAGATCCAACCCCTTATTTGCCACGTCTCGCGTTTAGGCGTTTATTTACAATTATATGGTTTAAAGAAAATTAAAAAAAAAACGCGAGGTAAACGAAAAAATGGTCTCCACACTTCCACTTTTCGTTGCAGAGATTCCATGGCGGTTTTATCTCTATTTCCAGCTGAATATAATGCCGAATACCCGGCAATTGCAAGCAGTTCAAACATTATATTTTCCCGCGCTTCAATTGAAATTGTAGAGTATTAACACAGCAATCATTCTGCATCTCAATACAACAAACATTGCAAATAAAATTGAGACTGGCTGACAGCTGGCAAATGATCTATCGTCTTCATTATTGTCATACCATTGTGTGTAAGATAAACATTTTTCGGCGTACTTATTTAAATATAAACATTAGTTTGGCGTTTGTACATCTGTTTACAACCAGCCATATTTTAAAGTCATTGCCATGGAAAACTCCCAATAAACTAGCGTTTGGTGGATTTCTTATAATATATCCGTACTGCTAAATTTAGGTTCGTCAACTGTTTAACCCAAAACGGCCCCAAAACGGATATATACTGCGCTGATTTTTTGTGGGTCGCAGAGTTCTTTCCTGGGAAGTGTCGATTGGGCAAAAGTTTGCGCCTTCGTCTACAAAGAACGGCATTACGATATCGTCTAAGTTAGATTATGGTTACTGCGATAAGATCACTACTAATTTGCAACCAGTTTGCGCTTTCTGTTACCCCAGGTGAACAAATTATATCAGGTAAACCAATTACCGGTCAAATGGATGCGAGGCGATGCTCGCAAACCATTATATTTTCCTGATACTACTAAGACTTTACGTCCGTCAATTTTTAGGTCGTCGAGCGCAAATCGGCCGTTTAAAGAGATCAAATTAGGCCGATTTCTTATCGGAAATGTTCTGTCCTGTAAAGGCATGAATCTTAGATGGAGCCGGTTGAATCAATACTTCTTAACCGGGGGAGTTTGGCTTTTCCATATGCGTAATAAAGTTGGGCCAAATTGGTCGTTTTTTTTTCTTACGATTTATTTGACATTCGTTGAAAATAAAAATAATACATTTATATTAGGAAGTTCTTTGTCTTCTCAAGTTTTACAGAATTTATGTACAATTGAATTTAAAAAATTTTTGATTGTTCGTGTTTTCTACATTTAAGGGTAAATCGGTGATTTTTGCTTCAGTAGTTCATAACTGATAAAATGTAAAATTTCACTTTGTTTTTCCCAATTCTGCGAATACTTTTTTGGGACTCAGCTTCTTTCACCCGTAATGCTTGTTTAGTCACTTTGTGAAATCAATAATCAGATCTCTTACACGCTCGTAAGAAAATTATTGGGCCTGAAATAGACTATAAAGTTTTCTCGAGAACTTTTTTTGGATGTTTACCTAATAACAATAAATTTATGTAAAAGGGATCATTCTTGCTCTATGTTGAAAAGAGATTTTCTGTTAATAATCGATAGACCTCAACAAGCTGAGCACACACGATACATGTCCATATATATAAAACTGATATTTGAACTTTAAAAGACTGAAAAAGGCAGTCGGATGAAAATTTGTCTCGTCGCCAGTGAGATAAATGTAAAATAAAGAAATGATAATTTTGGGGTTTTTCAAGCGGCTTTCTGCGTATCAATTGAGTGACTGATATACAGAAACACTTTCGTGATGACAAATTTTTTTATATTGCTTGACAAATTTTATGAAAGACATACCAGAAACATTGAACATTTCTACGTTATCACTTTGTTAATGCTAAATCTTCACACTGGTCGATAGATCTCGACCAGTCGAGTAGTAACACAATACGTCTTCTTTTAGCTGAAGTAAACATTTGGTTTGGGTGAAAAAAACCCAAAAGCGAATACGACGGTTCTTTTTTTTTGAGGATATGATGCTGGAACATTTTTTTTTTACAGGTGAGCTTATTTAGGAGGGGGGATGTTGACGGAAGTTTAAGCTTTTTTTGATGACGTTCCAGGATTAGAGTTAATACATCAATCGAAACGAATAGAATCATCATTCAATGTCTATTACATTTTTGTTTGTTTTAATACGCGCAACCAGTTATTATAAGTAGGAGAAAGCTAAAAAGCGCTGTAACGTCTTTTGTAACGTCTCGGAAATGGGATCAATATGCCAAATGAAATATGTCAGTTAAATGTATATAAATATTCAATAGAATATGCACTACTTATAAGAAAAAAAATTCAGTGTCGTCCTGGGAACATAGCCAGCCTTAATTTAATTTATTATGCGTAAATACCCCTTATTTTTCTATTCAGGAAAACCTCACTCAATAATGACGCTTCGTAAATAGGGTTAATAGGTTAGCCAACTCGCTTCGTCTATTAGCCGCAATGTCTATTAAACGTCAACTGAAGACCACATTCGCCCCTTAGAAGTCGGCCGACAGCGTCCCCTATTCGTGTACATTGCGACAACGAAGTCAGTCTGCCAACGCTAGAAAACCTTCAGTCACATTACATGTATAAAAAGCCAACATGTCACAAACTAGATAAATTTAAAGTTGTTAAGTCTCCTGGCGAATACACTAAAACATACTGATAAAATAACTATAGAAAAATAACTGGTTAAGTGGGGCAGGGTATTTATAGCAAGATTACTATTAATGTATACTTGATCTATAGTTTTCGTTAACCTGAAGAGCGCATAAAATAAATTAATTCACGATGAAACAGGCATAAGGCTAAGCCCGCGGCTTTGTTTAGCCTATGCGTTCAATTATCTATTATTTACACTACCAGAAATCTTAAAAAGCAGGTTTATCAGACATAATTTGACATTTTCGAATGGACGGAGTAGGCTGATTTTTTGGACCGCTTGACATGTCTCATGGATAGGTCCGCGTGGAAGATGAAGTTAATTGGTCAAACACCTTTGCCCGATGGGAAAAGTTCACTCATCCCATTAAGCTAAATGTTAATTTGGTTACTAGTAAATTGACGACAATAACTTCCTTGTCATTTTGAAAATTAAACAACGCCGACCACCGCTTACAAGCACCAAAGAAGCCATCAGCATCGTTCGTTCCGATATATCATTTGATGTACAAATGTATGCGTGAAAACTCTGTTGTGTGAACCAGCGTACTTAACTCATAGACAACTGTGTTTAAACTGTATTGTGGAAAAGCCTATCAGGTTTTAGCTGGCCGTGCTTCAACATCACGTGCATTATAGTCAGCCCTCAAAAATGAATCCTTAGTCTAACAAATGGACGGACGTAGTCAACGAACATCACGTTGACAACTGTTGACGATTAACGACTTTTGTGTTTACCAAAAACATTTCAATTCGTAAATTAAGCCCTCTTTACTTTTCTCACTCGTCAAGACGTGTTCTGTCTAGAGATAACGGCACTTCGACAACACACCCATTGCCCACTGCGCAATCCTATCAACGCCTAGTGATAACTTGCTTCACTGGTATCAATCGTTAGAATTTTAATCGAAAGTAATTTTAGTAATACGCAATGCCATGCTTACCGTAGTGCCACTACAATTGCCACAGTTAGGCCAGAGACCTATATCGTTGCTATAGTGTTGCGCATTTGCTTACTGGTAGCCTACGC